GACAAGATAAATTCAATTAGACTTTTATGACAATAAATATGGTATTACTAAGAAAAAAAAGGCACAGGCTAACAGAATGGATACATAAATAGGATCCAACATTCTGCTGCATACAAGAAACACCTCAGCAACAAAAATAGACATTACCTCAGAATAAAGGGCTGGAAAGAGGTTTTTAAGCAAACAGACCCAAAAAAAACAGGCTGGAGTAGCCATCCTCATCTATAATAAAATAGACTTTCAATCAATATTAATCAAAAGAGATGGAGAAGGACATTTCATTATTATCAAAGGAAAAATTAGCCAAAAGGACATCTCAGTGCTGAATATCTATGGCCCAAATAACAAGGGCACCTGAATTTGTGAAACAAACATTATTAAAACTTAAATCACACATCTGTCCCCATACAATAGTGAGAGACTTCAACACCACACTCTTACCAATGGACAGTTCATCAAAACAGAAACTAAACAGAGAAATAATGAAACTAACAGAGGTCATGAATCAAATGGACCTAATAGATGTCTATAGAAGTTTTCACTCAAACACAAAAGAATATACTTTCTTCTCAACACCACACAGAACCTTCTCCAATATCAACCATATAGTTGGTCACGAAGCAAACTTCAACAGTTACAAGAAAATTGAATTAACCCATTGTTCTTTATCAGACCACCATGGACTAAACTTGGACCTCAACAACAACAGGAATAACAAAAAGCCTACACACTCATGGAAACTTAACAACTCCCTGCTCAATGACCACTGAGTCAGGGAAGAAATTAAAAAAAAATTAAAGACTTCCTACAGTTCAGTGAAAATGAAGGTACAACATACTCAAATTTATGTGTCACAATGAAAGCAGTGTTAAGAAGAAAATTCATAGTACCAAGTGCCTTCATAAAGAAATTGGAGAGATCTCATAGTAGCAACTTAACAACTCACCTAAAAGCTTTAGGAAGAAGAAGAAGAAAAAGAAGAAGAAGGAAAGAGAAAGAAAGAAAGAAAGAAAGAAAGAAAGAAAGAAAGAAAGAAAGA